CCTCTGCTTTTTTTTCTTCTTTCCTATTCTTCGTCCCCCCCCTACCCCCCCTCTCCATCATTTTTCCCCTTACCCTTTCCCTTCCTCCTCCCATCCCTATCCCTGTCTTCTCTCCCCCTCCCCCTCCTCTCCCCATCCCTTCTCTCCTCTGCTATGTTCTGCTCAGATCTACTCTCCTCTTCCCCTTCCTCTATCCCCCTCTCTTCCTCTTCCCCACCTCCTATCCCTCTCCCCTCCCCTTCCCCTAACCCCCTCTCCTCCTCTCCTTTTCTTCTACTCCCTCCCTTCCATCACATAAAGAACATTCTCTTTGTACAGCTATTACAATGACAAAATTTACCCCAGCAAATCTGTGTTCTTGCAGACACAAATGCATTAAGGTTTTTACATTATTGTTTGTACTTTGCAAAGGATGAGTATGCTTCTAAGTAGATTAACTGCAGTGGAGATGCTTTTGTAACCTTTGTACTGCTCTACTTAAGTGTGCACTTCAAGTGGTTTTGTAGGGAAAAAGTGAACCGTGCATTTCCTTTTGTCGTTGGGTCAGTTGCTCTGGGTATTATTGCGTATTTTGGAATTATCGTTCGGTGTTGCAATGTATGCATTTTAGCGGTCTTTCAGTATCTGTTAGTTGAGAATGACATGACAATATAGTTTTATGTCTATGTTATATAATGTATTATTATTATTATGTTGTATGATACATATTTTCTTTATTTGGTGTTCATATATATGATTGTATTATGTATTATCATATGAAAGTTAAAGGTAAATATGTGAGTATTTTTATGTATAAGTAATTGTTTCAGAGATATTTACCTCATTATTACTATTCACTGAGATAGTTCTTTTGCCAGTGAGGAAAATATATGCTTAATTGAAGTGGCTTTGTGTCTGTTTTCAGTCTGATTCTCTTGTGTGGTGGAAGACTGTTGGAAAGAAAAAGCTTTTAGACACTAGACAAAGTTCTTGAATGAAATGATAATGATTCTCTGTGCTTCCTAACTTCAGTGCTCGGCACTCCTTGATTCTTGGCTGCAGATGGGCACTTTGGTTATGGAGATTTTACTTCCTTTTTTTCTTCTCCTTCTTCTTCTTCTTCTTCTTCTTCTTCTGCTTCATTCCTGTCTCTGAAGAGGGAAAAGAAGAAAAGGAGTTTTTTCCCTCTTCAGAGACAGGTAATGAATGCAGGAGTTGAAAGGAAAAACGTGCATCTGCTGTACATTGTTCTCTTTTTCAATTTCAGTTTTGCATTTAGAAGTAATTTCAGTGACACTTTTGTGTGATGTATTTTCACAGATGAACCACCTTTTTGTTCTATTATGTAAATCAAGAAACTTCTGTGCTGTCTGTTACTCAGGTTGGAGAAGGGCGAGCGCTCTATAACCTGGGCAATGTGTACCATGCACAAGGGAAGCACCTAGGCCGCATTGGGCCCCAAGAGCCGGGTGGATTCAGCGATGAAGTCAAACACTGTCTTCAGAAGGCTGTGGAATATTATGCGTAAGTAGCATTTCTGCAAAAATCTCCTCAGGATATAAATTTCCTCTTTTGATTTTTTTTTTTTTTTTTTTTTTTTTCTTTCTCTCTCTCTCTCTATTGAGAAAGAACTCTATTTATTTGTTATATTTCTTATATTATTGTTTTTGTTGTTTAGTTTTGTTACTTAACATCTGCAATTTAGCTAGTGTACGTTGGGGACCAAGAAGTTTTGACAGAGTTTTATGAGGGAAAAAAAGAATTACAGAAACATAGCTATATAAGCTATAGGGAAGCGGTGGCATGTTTA